AAAGAGTGGGCTGACTCTCCTCTTATGCTCTCTTCTCCTCTCTCTCTCTTCTCTTACTCTCTCTCCCCCCTCTCTCTCCTCCACCTGGAATAAACTTTGTTTAATGTACAAAACAAACAAACAAACCCCCTCTCCCTCCTCCACCTGGAATAAACTTTGTTTAATGTACAAAACAAACAAACAAACAAAAAGAGTGGGCTGGGGATGGTGGTGTGCTTGCCTAGTGTGCATGAAGAACAGTGTCTGGTCCCCGACAGCACCACCTGCATGGAGAGTCACGTGTATAATCTCAGCACTTGGGAGGTAGAAACAGAAGCATGAGAATCAGGGGCTTCCAGGTCATCCTTAGTTAGATATCAAATTTGAGGCTAGCTTGAGCTACACAAGATCCTATCAGGAACTGGAGTGATGGCTCAGTGGATAAGAGCACTGGCTGCTCTTCCAGGGAACCTGGGTTCAATTCCTAGAAACCACATGGCAGCTCACAACTGTCTGTAATCCTAGTTCCAGGGGATCCAACACCCTCACAGACACACATGCAGACAAAACACTAATGCACATAAAATAAAAATAAATTATTTTTTTAAAGATTCTGTCATTTTGCTGGATGGTGCATGTCTTTAATCTTAGCACTCTGGAGGCCAAAGATAGTTGGAGTTCTGTGAGTCTGAGGCCAGCCTAATCTATGTAGAGAGTGCCATGCCAGCTAGAGCTATCCAGTAAGACCTTGTCTTAAAAAACAAACAAACACACAAAAAAACCCTGTTCACTGTGTCTCTGGAAATGTGATATTCTCTTAGAAAAGCTGGAAGCTACCCGCAGGCATTGAAGAGATGACAAAAAAACACATAACTAAAAGCTTAGTGTGGTGGCTGGCGCACACATGTCACCTCCATACTCAGAGGCAGGAGGATTGCTTCAAGTTCAATGTTACATTAAGAGTATCAGACTGGCTAAAGCTGCATAAGACCCTGCCCCAAACCTGTCACAAACACAATGACCCCCCCCATACCCAAGCACAATCCAGGTGAGCCTATCAGCCCACCTGTTAAGCCACTGTTTGGGAGACAGAGACAGGAATCCCCCTCGGCTACACTAACTAGAGCAGCCAAAGTAGTGACCCCTCAGGTTCAGGGATGAATTCTAGCTAATTAATTAAAGGGTATTGAGGAAGACAGCAGGTATCAGTCTCTGGTCTCCACACACATGCTTCTGCACACATACAAGTTTTCACTCATACATGTGAACACATAATACCCTTCTACACATGCCAAGTGTGAATGCACACTGGAACAAGATCACATTGTTGGTGGGTGCTGAGAAGTTTGAGGAGGGTGTTCTCATTTCACCTCTGTCACTTTGATAAAGTGTTCTGCCCAGAGCAGCTTACAGGAGGAGAGTGTTGATTTTAGTTATGGAAGTCAATGCAGGCACTAATTCAAAGCCAAGGAAGCACAGCAGAAACCATGGAGGATGCTGCTCTCTTATTAGTTCACAGGTTTATTCTCACTAGCTTTCTTATAACTCAGGATCACCCACCTAGGGAATGGTGCCACTCAAAATGGGCCTTCCTATATTAAGTAGCAATCAAGACAATCCCCCACAGACATGCACACAGGCAAACCTGGTCTGGGCAATGCCTCATTTGTGACTCCCTTATCAAGTGCCCCTAGACTGTGTCAGGTTGATAGTCAAAATTAGGACAAACCAGATAGACCCTCTGAGCCTTACTCACTCATCCTTAGTATGGGTAGTGATTTCTTCAGGGCTTAAATGAGATGGCTTTTGCCACCCTTCTGTCCACCTGCCAGCTCTGCCTTCCTTCCAGCTCTGTTCCGTGTTGTATTTGCTGTCCACAGACTCCATGGCAGCTCCCTGGGCAGCAGGTCCCATCAACACAACTGCCCGCAGTTGCTTGAGCAGTTGCTCATTGCTCAAAATCTGCCCCACAGGCCCTTGCACCTGCTGCCCCACATCCACAATGCTCAATGTCCTTGTGTCTTCACTGCAGTTAGAGCTGGACTGATGACTCTCTGGCCTCGCTCTGGAGGTGACTGTGGTGTGCTGATCCTGTATAATTATAGTCTCGTTCCACATTACTGCCAGGCCAGTCAGTGACAGTCAGAATGTACAGCAGTAATCCTACAGATTATAACCGAGCTGACTGAAGTAGGCTGTCCCACATTAAGGAGCCCTGGGGCCTCAGACAACCCAGGTTCAGTCCCATGAAAGCAGTAGGAAGCCATGAACAATGTCAGAGCAAGGCCAATGTGACCAGGAGCTCACAGAGTCCAGGAAGGGAGCACTAGTGAGGGCTGGTGCCATTGGCACCCCAGAAGGAGCTGTCAAGAAGAGACCTGAAATGCTCTAGAGCCTAGTATCTAGGACAACTCTGCCATCTGTCTAGGGAGTGGGGAACTAAGCATCCTCAGCCAGGCCCAGCTCTTCCAGGGAGCCCCTACAGGGAATGGCCCCTTTGCCATCCTGGGAAGGGGTCTAGGTGGGGGCTCCCCCAGGTCTGGCTGTAAGGAAGGAGTGTCTGAATTCCCATCCAGCCCTGGCAGGAGTTGAGCCTTCTCAGGGACAAGTCCTCATCAACACTGCTATGAGCCACCTTCTCCTGTGGGCCTTAGGGGAGGGGACATGAATGTGGTGGCCTCAGCCAGGAAATCAGCAGCACTGCTCTGGGGAAGAGGGCAAGTCTTCATTCTCCTGTCTCCCCACATTCATCAGCTGGGGCAGTCCCTCAGAGCCTGCAGTGGCTGCTCAACTTTGCCTCTTGTTCTTTAGGAATAGGCTCTGTCCTAATAGCTTTACCCACAGAGGTCACTGTCCTGAGAGTTCTGTCCACTGGGGGCGCTGTCCTGAGAGTTCTGTCCACTGGGGGCGCTGTCCTGAGAGTTCAGTCCACTGGGGGCGCTGTCCTGAGAGTTCTGTCCACTGGGGGCGCTGAGAGTTCTGTCCACTGGGGGTGCTGTCCTGAGAGTTCTGTCCACTGGGGGCGCTGTCCTGAGAGTTGCATCCACAGAGGGACTGTTGTAAGATTCTGTTACTGCCATGGTTGAGTGTGTGTGTGTGTGTGTGTGTGTGTGTGTGTGTGTGTGTGTTGGAACTGTTCTGAGAGTAGCTTTGTCCAGAGCGAGGCACTGTCTGCAGTGATGTGTATCTGGATGTCATTAACTAGGATGGTGACTTGCTGAAATCCAGGGAGTATGTAGGTGCTGATGGGGCAGGACTGCAAGGGCACCACAGCGGTGCTGCTCCTGCTCCCTTTCAGGGTTGTGAGCAGGTCCCAATACATGCTGCTCCTGTCCACACAGATGCAAAGCAACACCCATTCCCACCCAACTCACCACACAAGACACATGTGTACAGACACTCAGGTGTGCACACAAAGATAAACCCACTGACAGACACTCTGTATATGCAGACACTTAAAAATAGGTATGTGTGTTGAATACAAGCACACATAGCATATAAATATCAACTTCGTAGTTGGAGGCAAGCATGGGGTACTGTTGCGTGGCAAACTTTTACTGTGGAGACAGAGCACAAAAATCTACTCACCCCAGACAGGAGTCCCATGATAGACCAAAGTACGGATACCACCAAAGTCCAACTTGGTGAACCAATGACTTTAATTAGAGGTTACTTACAGGAGAATGGGTGAGGGCTACTTACAGGAGCAGCAATGACTCAAAAACAAAACAAACAAAACAAAACAAAACAGCTGCATCACCAAGGCCCGCCTCAGCATGGGTGACACCTCACAAAGCTGGGAACCTGGAGCTCATGGCACAGTGTGCAGGCAGCTCAAGTGGTTGGAGAGTGTCCTTTCTAGGAGCTCTCCTCACACAGAGTTCTTTGCAGCTGGGCTCGGGCTCTACTTTACACTGTCAGGAAAGTGCCTGGTGAATCCTCTCTCTCTCTCTCTCTCTCTCTCTCTCTCTCTCTCTCTCTCGCTCTCCCCCCCCCCCACACCCCCCCCCCCAAGTAGGATTATTAAGATGACTCAGCAAGGTAGACACCTTCCACACAAGCTTGTTGACCTGTGTTTGACTGTCAGGACCCAAAGAAAGGTGGAAGGAGAGAACTGACTCCACAAATTTGTCCCCTGACCCTCACACACACATAGTATGAGTGCCTGTCTTCATATTCAATAATAAATGCAATTTAAAAGAAAAATGAAAGAAAGGTATAAAATTGCTTATTTCAAACAGTGACAAAAAGTTATAAAAACAAAAAAACAGACACACACAATAATACCCACGTGCACACAACACCATTCTGTAGCAACTGCTCCATGGGATGGATCATCTGAGGCATATGAAACTCAGGGGAGGGGCTTGGGAGGATGGGAGAGTGGGGCGTGACTGGTGTGTATTTGGGGAGCTCTTCCCAAAGGTTGAGTGGAGCACAAACTACCCATGAACACTGTCCCATCCTGCAGGGTGGACACCTCTGAGGACACACTGCGGAAGCTGCGGGAGGCTTTCAGTACAGGGCGGACTCGGCCTGCTGAGTTCCGGACAGCACAGCTACAGGGCCTGGGCCGATTCTTGCAGGACAACAAGCAACAGCTGCAGGATGCACTGGCCAAGGATGTGGGCAAGGTGCTGTGGGGTGACAGGAGGGGTATCTAGACAGGTGCAGCGGTGTCCTTCCCGAGCTGGGCCACATCCTCTGTGAGATCCTGTGCCCTCCATGAGGAGCAGACCTGGTGTATTTAACCCTTGCTTTATGCACAGAATGCAACATTAACTTGAGAACACATAGAGCGCCAGCGAGAGGCCATCTGGATGGCTGTTCTCAGGTCACAAATAGGGAAACTGAGGCACTCTGGTTAAGTCACATGCCAAAAGTCTCAAAGCCAGGCAGTGGTAGTCCAGAATTAGTCCTCATGGAGCATACACTGTTTATATGCTCAACTAAACTGCCTTACGCCCTTTCCAAATGATAGACCCCAGCTCAGCCTTGAACCTGCCCTTCCCACCCCACAGTCAGCCTTCGAGTCAGACATGAGTGAGATCATCCTGTGCCAGAATGAGGTAGACCTGGCCCTCAAGAACCTGCAGACCTGGATGAAGGATGAGCCTGTGTCCACCAACTTGGTGAGCCCTGTTGTCTGGATGGTGGTGGGTGGAGATGGCAGTGGGTGGCAGGGCCTGACCCTTTCTTGCCACTTCTCACTGGGGACCCCATCACCCAGGGAGGTGAGGACATGTGTGTGGGAGGCTGTTACACACTTGGCACCTGACTGTCATCCTGCATCCTAGCTCACGAAGCTGAGCTCAGCCTTCATCCGGAAGGAGCCCTTTGGCCTGGTGCTCATCATTGCACCCTGGAATTATCCTTTGAACTTGATGATCCTGCCCCTAGTAGGGGCCATCGCTGCAGGTGAGGGGGAGGTTTTGGTCCTTCCCAAAGAGGGCATCCAGAGTTCCCTGGAGCCTGCAGACACCAGCCTCTCCCCCTACCTCCCCACCGACTCCTGCAGGGAACTGCGTGGTTCTAAAGCCATCAGAGATAAGCAAGAACACAGAGAAGGTGCTGGCTGAGCTGCTGCCCCAGTATCTGGACCAGGTGTGTATGGCTCTGTCTGTCAGCACCCAGCATCCCCACACCCATGTCCAGGCCAGTAGGGAAGTCCCTGCTGTCCTCGAGGCTGCCATCTGAGCTGTCATCCTGCCTTGCAGAGCTGTTTTGCTGTGGTGCTGGGTGGGCCCGAGGAGACCCGGCAGCTGCTGACACACAAATTTGACTATATCTTCTTCACAGGTGAGGATGGCCCTGGCCAGGATCCTGGGATGGGGGACAGCATAGAACACAGTGTGAAGGAATTGAGGGACAAGGCCCTAGGCCAAGATAGGGTGTCCCTGAGGGTGGCAGTCCACGCCCTCTGAGAATCTTGGAGATTGGTTCCTGGGTGGTCAGGATAGGTGGAACAGCCCAGAAGTTGGGCTGAGAAACATATCTGTGGAGAGGGGAGGCCAAAGTTCATGCCTAGACCAGTTGGCCAGGTGAAGATAGTGTCTCTTGACCACATCCTCAGGGAGCCCTCAGGTTGGCAAGATCGTGATGGCTGCTGCTGCCAAACACCTGACACCCATCACCCTGGAGCTAGGGGGAAAGAACCCCTGCTATGTGGATGACAACTGCGACCCCCAGACTGTAGCCAACCGTGTGGCCTGGTTCCGCTACTTCAATGCTGGCCAGACCTGTGTGGCCCCCGATTACATCCTGTGTAGCCAGGAGATGCAAAAGCGGCTGGGGCCTGCCCTGCAGAATGCCATCACACGGTTTTATGGAGACAACCCACAGACCTCCCCTGTCCTGGGCAGAATCATCAACCAGAAACATTTCAAGCGGCTCCAGGGACTGCTGGGCTGTGGCCGTGTGGCAATTGGAGGCCAGAGCGATGAGTCAGAGCGCTACATTGGTGAGTCTCTTGTACCCATCACTGGTTCCCAGCCCACCTGCGCTGAGACCCTTCCGTACAGAAGAGGTCTGTGTTGGACCCTGAACATGAGCTTCAGCATGCGTCCTTGGATTCCTAAGTTCATTACTCTGGAGCTTTAACTGTGGCTGAGCCAGTGACTCCTAAATTCAAACCTTAGGCTCCACAGCTTTAGACCTGATGAGCTGGGGCCCAGTTTTATGGGCTTAAACTTCCATTTGCTTTACATTGCCCCAGGTCCCTAGATACTCAGACCCTGGATTCCTGAGAAGTCAGATCCTCACACTCTCCTGTCTGGAGCCTCGTTTCCACCAAGCCCTGACAACAAGTGAAGCTGTTTCTCCCTTTGTCTGCAGCACCCACGGTGCTGGTAGATGTGCAGGCATCAGAGGCAGTGATGCAGGAGGAGATCTTCGGGCCCATCCTGCCCTTGGTGACCGTGAAAAGCCTGGATGAGGCCATCGACTTCATTAACCAGCGAGAGAAGCCACTGGCGTTGTATGCCTTCTCCAACAACAACCAGGTGGGGCCTGCCAGGGCTGGGGACATAGAAAAGATGAAAGGGTGTCGATTGGCCACGCCTCCTGCATGGGGCTTTAGACGCATGCTGCAAGTTTTAGTAACCAAGCTGGTTCCATTGAATACTGCACAGACACATGAGGACAGGATACAGGCAAGGCCACAAGTGCCAGGTCCATGGCTGGCCAGCTGTCTGTCCTAGCTTGGGTAGCCTCCAATTGCAGTAAGGGGCGTATTAGGGAGTCCCCTCCCCACTTCTGAGCTGTGCAAAGTTCTTCATAAGTCAAGCTCCTATGGGATTGAAGGGACAATACTGACCAGGACCACACAGTCAGAGCCTGGCTGGTTACAGTGGGGATCCACCCCACCCTCACAAAGTTGTAACCTACTCTTGGTCATGGTTATGGACATAGACCTGTGCCCTGCCTATCCCTATGAGGTGTGTCCCCAGTGGGTGCTTACAATAAGGACTGCTTAGTGGAGAGGAGCTGGGAGGGGCAATGCAGAGGTGAGAACTCTTTATTCCCTCAGTGGTACTGTCAGGGCTCAGCCCCTGCCCCATGTGCTTCTGCCTCTCTCAGGTGGTGAATCAGATGTTGGAACGCACCAGCAGCGGTGGCTTTGGAGGCAATGATGGTTTCCTCTACCTGACTCTACCCGCCCTGCCCCTGGGGGGAGTTGGTGAGTTCCTGGCCCCCTCCACAGTCCAACCCTAGAATGTCCTTTGCTATTCATTCCACCTGGATGTAGGTCCTGGATGTAGCTAAGTCTTAGGGCCTTGCTGTCCCTATCTGTAAAATGGTCATTTGATTGCCCTGCCTTTCTGTGTTCCCTCACAAGCTTTGGGCTTCTGGGCCAGGCAGGTGGCTGCTACCCAGGCTGGCAAGCAGGGCTACACTGGTGCTGTCCTCACACTCACTCTCTGTGTCCTTGCAGGCAACAGTGGAATTGGCAGGTACCACGGCAAGTTCTCCTTTGATACCTTCTCCCATCAGCGTGCCTGTCTGCTGCGCAGCCCTGGGATGGAAAAGCTTAATGACCTCCGTTACCCACCTTATGGTCCCTGGAACCAGCAGCTGATAAGCTGGGCCATGGACTCCCAGAGCTGTACCCTCCTATGAGCACCACCCTGATTCCCTCCTGCTGCCCCCACATCCCCAGTGGTCCCCAAAAAGCAGGTGTCTGGCCCTGTCTATTAACACCCCACTTCTGGAATTTTTTCTGAACAGACCTGCAGCCAGGCAGGACCTCCGGGTGGCTGGTCCAGTCCTTTCCCAGAGCACAGCCCCCTTGGCAGCCTCCTGACGGTCTACCTAGACAGGTCTGCTGACAGAGAAGCCCCCTCTCCAAGGTTGGGCAGTTCTGGTGACTGAGGAGGACATTTTTGGCAGATCATAAACAGGGTCCCAAAAGACAGAGCAGTGGCTCACAGCTCCATCCACATCTGAGGGTGGCTTTGTCCCATCTGAAGTGACATGACCTTGAGCTTAGATCAGATTGATTGGTGAAATCTGCTTGAAGTGTGTTCACTGGTTACCTTTCTGTTGCTTTGATCAAATGACTTGAAATAGGAAAATTCAAGAGGGAAATATTTACTCATGGTTTCAGAAAGTTCTATCCCCCGTGACTTAGCAGACATGACAGAATACAGCTCAGTTCATAGGATGGCAGGCCAGGAAACATCATGAATAAGAAGGAAAGCATGGTTGATTAGTCATGTCTGCTCTGGGCCCAGGCAGGGGTATGTGCATGTGTTGGCTACATATCCACTCCAAGAAAAAGGTAAAATATGAAATTAGAGAGTTGGGGCTAAAGGGATCGCTTAGTGGTTAGGAGCACTGGCTGTTCTTTCAGAGGACTAGGTTCAGTCCCCAACACCCACATCAGAGCTTACAACCATCTGTAACTCCCTTTTAAGAGGATCCAACACCCTCTTCTGGCCTTAGCAGGTACCAGACACACATATGATATCCAGACATACTGGTAGGCAAAACACTCATACACGAAAATAAAAGAAAAAATGGAGGCTTGGAACTGGGTGTGGCGGCACACGACTTTAATCCCAGCATTTGGGAGGCAGAGACAGGTGGATCTTTATGATCTTTGTAATGCTAGCTTGGGCTGTATAGTGAGTTCCAGAACAGTCAGGGGTATGTAGAGACCCTATCTCAAATAAATAAATAAATAAATAAATAAATAAATAAATGGAACTGTAGACTTCATCTGAATATGAGGAAACGGAGACCTTGAGTCAAGACAGGGTTGAACTGAGTTCATAGAGGAAAGCAGGGCTAGAGCTGAGAGACACTGGACTTTGTTGAGGTCCATGGGGCTGGAAGCTGGTAGACAGCATGCCTGGCCCTGGAATTGGCTCCTTGTTCTTCCCCAACGCCGCCACCCCTACCCCGGCCCCAGAGCCCCTTCCAATTCCCAGCCTCGGCTTGCTGGATCCTCATCCTCAGAGTCATAGGAAATCTGAACTAGTGGATGGAGGAGAGAAAGCATCAATAGGAGGAGGAACAGACAGTTGTGTGGATGATGGATGGATGGATGGATGAGGTGGCTGGATGGATGGATGGTAAGACTCACGGGTTACTGAGTGGGGCAGGTGAGTGACAGGCTTGGGAGCTACCCTGGGGCTCCAGTGGGTCATGGTGAAATCTAGCCATAGGTTCTGGGCCCACGGTGGTCATTAGCCTCAACCTAGAGTGGCCATAAGAAAATCAACAACACAGGTGACTCATCCTTCCTGGTCCAAACCCAGGAGATACCAGGTTAGCAAGAATCCTGCAGCAGAGTGCTGGAGTGGGAGCTGAAGGGACTGGCCACATGGAGAGTGGAGGGGAGGCAAAGCAGCGGAGCCTGAAGTGTAAATGGGCTTTGGGAGGCCAAGTCTGGTGTAGGAAGGACTCAGGTAGGGGCATATATCTGTGTGTGGCCATAGTAAGGGACTTCCTGCCCTTGTGTGGGCTATGCTGGTTAGTGTTTTGACAACTTAACACAAGCTAGAGCCATTTGGAGAAGGGAACCTCGGTTGAGAAAATGTCCCCAACAGACTGGCCTGCAGGCAAGTCCATGGGTCATTTTCTTGATTAATCAGTGATGTGGGAGGGCCCAGCTCACTGTGGGTGGTGCCATCCCTGGACAGACAGTCTGGGGATATGAAAGGAATAAAGCTGAGCAAGCCATGGGGGACAAGTCAGTACACAGTGTTCCTTCATGGCCTCTGTTTCAGTCCCTGCTTTCGGGTTCCTGCCTTAAGTTCTTGACCTGACTTCCTTCAATGATGGATTTGTGCAGGCCCGTAAACCCTTTCCTTCCAAGTAGCTCTGATCATAGAGTCTTAATCGAAGCCACAGAAAACAGGGTGCTGTCCCTCGAGCTGTGGCAGCCTTAGCTCCTGTCAGGCAACACCAAGTGCCACAAGTCTTGCCTGACAGTGCAGATGGCATTGGACAGAGCTGTTCCCAGGGGTCATGCCTGTGGATCTCAGAGGGCTCTCAGGGCCCTCCAGAGGAATACAAAGAGAATCCCATGCTCCTCTGCCCCAGCACAGCCACCAAAGTCCTGCCTTTTATTCCCTCCCAAGCATCTGGTCTCTAGAAAGCAGTCACAAGAGGACAGAAGCCAGCTCTGGCTGGTTGCCATGTCCCCAGTACCCAGCCAGTGATGGCCCTGCCTGGTACCTAAATTGAATTAATAAGAAGGAAGGTCGAGGGACAGGAAACAAAGACACCCCTCAGTTGACTCCTCCCTCTCCCTCCCCATAACTAGTCATGCACACTTTGAGAAGGGGCCAAGTGTCCCCACCTGGGCATCCTCAAGCCCAGGTCCTGGCTTCAAGAACTAGTGATAGCAGCCTGGTCACCAGGCTCCCGGTCAATGCTCACATGGCTACCCCCTTCCAGGTCTCCACTTCAGCAAGGCTCAAAGTTTCAACTTTGGATTCAATGAACCTTTTACTCCAGCTGGGCCCTCTCCTTTCTCAGCTGCAGTGCTGGCTACACTCCCCTCCAAACATCTTCCCCATATTACCAGGCCCTCTCTATCCACTCCCCCCATCCTTCTCCCATTGCAGGCCATGTGGTCTCTGATCTGGTCCCTGGCACAGTCTTCCAGGTCCTTCCCTGGCTCATTTCCCAGGGCTGGCATTCAAAGCACTTTCAGAGAAAGACAAAGCCATCTGCCATCCCCCAGCCCTGGGGTGGGGGGACACACCAGGTAGATGCTACAATCCCTGCAAGGCAACAGCCTCCTTCTCAGAGTGGCCTGAGCACTGTTTCCTGGGAGATTCCATACCAGAAGGGAGCTGGAGGAGCGGCTACGTCGTGACACACACTGGGCCTCAGATGTCACCTTGGGAGTCACTGGCAGGAAGACGGGAGGTCATTTGTGAAGGATGGACTAGAGGACTGGACAGAGCAGTCTGGAAAAGCTGGTAGGAGGTGGCCAGTGTCACTTCCCTGAGGATCAGGAGAGCAGGCACAGAGAGCAAGGCTGATGGACCTTGAACAAGATGTGACAGATAGGCCAGAGGAGCTGAGCAGTGACAAGAGGAGCCATAGCTTTGTCAGGAGAGTGGAGGGTCAGACAGGGTCTCTAAAGCCACTGGGTCCATGGTCCTCAGGCATGGATCCCAGGCCACAAGGCTCTTTTGGATCAAGATTTACAATTTGGGGTGGGGGGAGCTTAGTTCTGATACCTTTCTGAGCCTCAGTTTCCCTAACTAGAGAGATGTTGGGCCTGTGAATACTATGACGGGCATCACTCTAGGCCTTGCTCACCTAGGGGCGTTCTTGTCCATGTCAGTTTTCTAGGCTTGCGCTTGCTTTGCCCCTACTCCCCACAGCTGTCTCAGGCTCAGGGCTGCCTCTCCTTCATTTCCCATACAGGATCCAAGGCCCAGGGAAGGCCCTGCCTCTCTCCAGGTCACACAGCTTGTCAGGGGCCCCTCTCTTTCCTGGGGCTTGGGGGTATAACTCATTGGGTCTGCCCCAGCCTCTGTTCACAAATGTGTGTGGAGATAGACAGACAGACAGACAGACACACACACACACACACACACACACA